TGATCCCCAACCTAATAGCAGTGGCCTCCGACCTAGAAGCGATGGCCCCCGACCTAGAAGAATCTGCCTGACATGCTTGTATGTCAAGCATTCCAAACCTTAATATTGTTCTCGATAGAACATCTGAACCGCCTGTTATTTTCAGCAGTGAAGATTAGGCGCCTGCTCTGCGAACCACTCAATCTCCGCTTCGGTCTGCAAGATGTGCGATCCAGCACTTCTGCAACGCAAATGTGAAGGACTACTAGCTTCTTGTTACTACTAGTAAGGCACCTGTTACTACTAGTAAGGCACTTGTTACTAGAAGCGATGCACTTGTTACTAGTAGCTTCTTGTTACTACTACAAAGAGGTTGGTGTGACAAAGAGTTCTCGATATACTTGCACAGGTGTTTTTGAAGATGGTTCTATACGCAGCACTCATGGAGTCATGGTGCCATTTAAACACTGCCGATGAGGAACTCGACTGGTGTGAAGTCATCATCGCTCTCAAAGCTCTCCGGAGGATCAGGGTCAGGATCTATCAAGTAGTCCTTGGAAGGGTAAGGAAATGAATTGACTAAATTGAGCAGCTCAAGGTCGAATCAGTCTTGTTTGATTGATGTTGCTTGAACGCCCCACTCAGCTGTACTCAAAAGGTCTGGTCTGGTTCTTCCCACCTGATCCGAAAAGAGATCCTCGAAGAGGACCTTCGAGCTGCGAGTCATCCCTTGTTCATCACGGCTCATCACGTCTTCCTTTCTTCATATATCTCGAACAGTTGTTCCTTCAACTCCTTCTGCATTTATGTTCCTCTCATCACTCATCCCTTCGGTTCGCACATTCCAACATCAAATTGCTACAAATTGAAGATACCTAATAGCACAAAAAACCTGATAGGAATGGCCTCCAACTTACAAATTGAAGATTTGGAGTCGCATGGAGTCGCCTGAAGATGGGGTGTGAGGTGCACCAAGAAAAGCAGCACCACGCCAGCATTCAGTGCCACAGCTACAGCCCATAGCTTCACCTCGAGGGCGCTCCCTTGTCGGTTGGCTCCCGCTCCGACGACCGCTGATCCGCTGAGAGGGCGACTCTGGGAGCCATGAGCACGGCGCCGTGGCGGAGGAAATACGAAGAATATCGAAAGAATACCGGTCACATGGACCATGGAATAAACTCATTGTGAGATGGGTAAGGTACTCAGACTGCCCCATGCATGTTCGCATGATCTCTTGCTAGTTTCAACTGTTGCTATCTCTTGCTGCCTCACCGCTCAAACGAGTGCTTTGGCATACATGATTCAAATACAGTCTTGAAAGAGCTTGGTTGGTTGGAAAAATGGTACATGTCAAGAAGCCATGATTGGCGATGACAACTGTTTCTCAGACTCATACAGCTGCAGAAAGTAGGAGATTTGTTTGGAAGGACACTTTAGATCTTCAGACTTCTCTTTGTTTCTTTATTATAGACCTTTTCTTCTTTTGATTTCCAAAAGGCTTCAGGTCTTAGACAAAAAAGACAAGCTTGACGACCGTTGTGTCTTCGTCACCCGATCCTGTGACATAAGCAATGACGAACTTCCTTAAGGCTCTCCAACCTAATAGCGTCCGATCGCTCCCTTCGTAGCGATGCCCTTTGTTCCTAGTAGCGTCTTGCTCCTAGTAGTAAGGCCAGGAGCCCCTAGTAGCGTCCTTGCTCCTACTAGCGATGGCCTTCAACCTAAGCTAAGCGGCACGCGACCATTTTAAAAGCAACTTCCTACAGCGTTCAGCCTACAACGTCATCGGCAGATGTTCCCAAAATCTCGCCGTGCAAGTTCAAACTCCGCGCATCGCATTGGACAACACCGTTCAGTTCGCTGATCCTGGATGTCCTTCGTTACATGGAGGTCGCTGCGGAGCGTTCGGTTTCTGTACACACTGCTTTGGCAGTCGCCCTGTGTCACCGCTGCCGAATTGCTTGTTCGCTCTGCAACTGAGTCTTAAAAGGCCAGGACACGTCATGGGGTACAAACCGAGTGGCGTTCTTGTTAATAGGAATTAAGGGCATTCAATCTGAACACAATCCAATAAGTACAAAATCTATAAGCCCTTGTGAAAGCAGGTACCAAACTTTTCTTCGGATGAATTGGAAGACTTCAGCTCCGATCAATCCTCCATGCGGCCGTCCACAGCTTACCTGACATGCCGCATCTGTTGTTTGCGCTCCTGCCAATTTCGAGGCTTCGATTCACCCAAAAAAATTAACGTGTTGAAATCCGGCATTGGTGTGTTTGCAAGCAAAAGCAAATCTAAGACCGATGGCCTCCAACCTAATTCAATGTTTGCAACGAAAACAATGCATTCTTGTCTGCTTAGGTGCACCTCTTTGTTTCAGGCTTCGCATGGCTTCGCTATGCTTCTCTCAATTTGCTATGCTTCTCCTTCTTTCGGCGCTTCTTCTCTCCCGGATCACAAAGATGGCAAAACTCGCAGTCGTAGCCGCTGGTGCAACCAGACTGATCAGGTGAGGGCACGACTAGTACGCCGACTTCATATCACCGAAACGCTCCCAACTAACTCCTAAGACAAATCAACATCAGGCACCTTGTAGACAAACGCACATGGCTTGCAGGAACCAAGATGATGCTTCGCAGATCCTTTTGTTGGCACTTTGATCACCTTGGGCAGACTTCGACATCTTTGGAACTCCACAACCCTTGGATTTGAGCGATGGATTCCACAAATGAAGTGCATCACAGCTGCTTGGCCATCAGTGTCACTTGTACTGCAAGAACTGCCTGGCACAGTGAAGAAGCCAAGCATTTCACACAGAAAAACGCTAACAACTACATTTAGGGGTAGTTGAGGTGGAACGACCCAACTGTTAAGCGGATGTGTTGATCACTTTGCAGTACAACAAAACAGGAGCATTCAGCCGTTGTGAATACTACATTATGCAGCTGTGCCTGGTGCATCCCCAAAGTACTTGGAACGTCCGTGCTCTTCCTGTGCTCGCTGACAAGCCAGCTGTCAAAATAAACAAACAAATCTAGTGGAGTATAGCAGATAACAGTCTGAGAATACTACGTCTATTGTTAAGATTCAGGTATTGGATCTTCATCAACACTGCAAGCTGGCACTGTGGACAACTGCAGGTCCTTTGCCGGTGCCTTAGCAAGGAGACATGGAACGTGCCATCGCTGGAGCTTTGTATCTTCGATAGAATGAGTTCATGCACATTCTGCACATCCTTGTGGTTCTTTCTTGCACATGTTCATCAATCAATCAAGGCAAACCCTAAAGGCACAAATAAGGCATGAAGGACAGGAGTTTATGCATCTTTTGGAAGCACGGTCTCAACAAAGTAATAGAATGCGTCATCTAATCAAAGCTGATCGATTCAATACAAGTGCCTGAGGCTTTTGCCACGTTAGGTTCATTGTGCTTTGCTGCTAAGAAGAGGGCATCATTGGCATCATCGAACGCGTCAAAGAGGTGAGGGTTTGCACTGGCGGGAAGCTTGGCTCATAGAAAGCTTCACACAAACATACAGTCAAGACGCCAGAGATACTGTTTGATTCGCAAAGCTGCGAAAGAACAACGAGGTTTTGGTATGAAAGGAGTGAGGCCTCCAGTCATCATGTGTTCGCCAGTCATTGAAGGCGGGACTCAACGGCGCTTGTGGCATGCCTGCATCTCGCGACTAAGGGGACAAGACCCCTCACTAAGAACCCCCAAAGTATTCTGCCTTCCAATGGCGTGTACAAGGAATCGAGGTAGGCCAAGTATTCAGGATCTGGATGGGTTGAGGGTATCCTGACATCCAACACTTGGGCATGGTGCAAGCAAGAAAAGATAAACAAAGAGAGACAAGTGAGAAAAACAGAAACCTCATAGCGGCCTCCAACCTAATACGAGTAGCGATGGCCTCCAAATTAAGAGCTCACAAAATCAGTCCATCTCTCAAGCGCAAACTGTCCTGGGGTCAACGTAGTCCGGCAATTTCTGTTCGTAGCGGTCGTACTCACGATTATGGTAGCGACGGTAGTCCTGCTCGTAGCCTCCGTGATGAACTTCGTGATGTCGACCATAACGCGAATTCTCGTACTTCTGATAGCGATCCTGCTCATAACGATGGTAGTCGTGCTCGTTTTCGCGGTAGTACCGGTCATGCTCATAGCGATCATAGCGATCATAGCGATCGAGATGCTTCTCATATCGGTCCTGAGAAGTCCAATTCTGAGAATATCAATTTCTGAGAAAACTCTCCAATCTAGTAGCAAACGGAACCTAGTAGCTTCTTGTTCCTGGTAGTAAGGCCAGGAGCCCCTAGTAGCGTCCTTGCTCCTAGTAGCGATGCCAGGAGCCCCTAGTAGCTTCTGAGCCAAGCAGCGTAGGAATCGTAGTTGTACGGCGAAAGTCCAGGAGCAGGAGGAGGCCAAGAGAACTGGTCGTAGCCCTCAGAGAGGGTCAGCGGCACAGTTGCCGGGAGCAGGGCAGGGATAGGGAAGAGAAATGAAAGAATAGACAAGAAAGAAAGAAAAAGCAAAAACAAAAAAAACATCAATATCCATGGCCTCCAACCTAGTAGCCATGGCCTCCAACCATTATAAAAGAAAGACACCAAGAAGGGCCAAGAAGGGTCTAAAGGTCCGAAGGAAATGACACTTCATGACACTTCCACTTACGTGCCATTCGACAAGCAGCAGCAGGGGATGTTGGGAACGAAGAGGACTCATACTCATACCTTGGCCAGGCACATGGCCGGACACTAGTTGACATTTCGTTTGCATTCTTGTAAAATCAAAGCAGTTTTGTTGCAAAAGATGTTTTTTTTCACAAACTCTGCAGTAGATAGGTCCAACTCTGCAGTAGATCGGGCAATCAAGCCCAGTAAACTAAGCACTCCCAACGAAGCCATCGTGGCCGTTCGGCGATCACCCAGTGTCCCTCCCGCCGAGTGTCCCTCCCGGCCGCGACGGGCCATCACCCTTGTGCCCACGGCGTCGGGCCTGTCGGGCCTGTCGGGCAGCAATCGGCAAACGCTGTCATTTCGAAATCACATGGAACAGAATTCTCTTTTAAGACAACTTGCTATTATCCTTTTCTGCTTCGTTCTTTTCAGGCAACTGTGGTGGTTCAAACTTAAACACTGCCGTCTTGTTGTCCTTTTGCCTCAGGTAACCAGCAACAACTTACGAATCCCAGCCAGGATACCCGGAAGTCAGCGTTGCCGACGGCGCTCATCTCCTTCACCATGATGCTCACAGCAAGTTACCCCACACAAGCATCAGTAACATGACACAGCGAGAGTTGTATATATATAGAGAGAGAATGAGCCAGAAACTCTCATAATTCCGAGGCATCTACAAGCTCGCACGATGTCAAAAGCCTGACCATGTCTAATAGCCAAATGTCGGCGGATACGTCCGCACCGGTTCCGCACCAGAAGCGCCACCGGAAAAATGAGGCCAAGTCGCTGTGCCGGGCAGAGTAAACTTCACTGCACCACTGTCAATTGCCTGAGAAAGTGGTGCAGTAAAGACATAAGTTGGATGTGGCATGGGGTGATAGTGCGCCACATCCATGTCTCGTCCTTTCTCATGTGCTGCAATCTTCTGTGCCCTCTTCTGCCTTCTTATGACGACTGAAACATAGCAATACATCATCCATGAAAAAGTAACATCGCGCGTCTGAAATTGGCTGAGGCACAGTAATTTCCCACCAAGGCATTCAAAGCTGGGAGCCGAATTTGGGCTAAGACCAGGATAGCAAGCACGACCAATCAAAGGCAAATATAGGCCAATGGAAGACCAACTGACTTTGCCTTTAGCCATGATGTGAACATAACATATGTGAACTGTCATCTCGGTCTTTAGTTAAAGTGTACTGTCAAGTCAAAGCCATTGCGCTCTGGCCATTTTAACCAGCTTGTCGTTTCAGCCCAAGCTGCTGCAGGAACGGTCCCACCTGCAAAGGTGTTTTCCTAGGGCAGCTTCCAACGCATCGGAGCTGACGCATCATTTGGCCTATGCTATTGACGATTCCTATACATATGTTTGCTATCCTTAAACTAAATTCTGATGACATCTCCATTCTTGGCGACGAAGAAATCTCCATATCGTCCACACCTTCGACACAAAGGTCCACTGCGACACCTTGACGCACGCAGACGTGCCATTCGCCTTTGGGCCATGGCCCCGGAGTTCTCGGATCAAGTCAGCTGGAGAAGCATGCGCACCGGGAGCCAGCAAAAGCTCCTGATAGCCAAAGCAATGTGACAAAGCTGATCCCACAACCTGGTGTGTTAATGAAATCAATGTGAAGTAAAAGATTGAAAATAAAGCCTTGATTCCACCTAACAGATTGAAAGAGCAGAGTCTCAAATCATAAATTGTTTGAAGCACTTTAAGCACAACTGGTCGAGTGCTTCGAACTGAGCGGCTAAAAGCCTAGCGGGCCCGCCGCGCTCTCCACCCCTCCAGTCCCGCACTCGCTGCCCCATCTTCGAGACGCTATCTGCCTATGGAAAACCGAAAGCGATGCCAGCCCCTACTAGCGTTCTTGCTCCTAGTAGTAAGGCCAGGAGCTACTAGTA